CGGTTTTCTGACAACAGTGGTGTAGCATCAGAAAATTATTATGCACATTCACTGAGAGTAAGGCAAAACTAAGAAGTACTGTGATGTATTGGTTTGAGCATTGGACTACAACTCTGAAAACCAGGGTTTGAATCCCTGCTCAGTCATGGAAACCCACTGGGTGACCTTGGACAAGTCACACTATCTCAGTCTCAGATGACGGCAAAGGCAAACCATCTCTGAACAAATCATGTCAAGAAAATCTTGTGACAGGTTCACCTTAAGGGTCACCATCAGTTGGAAATGACTCGAAGGCCAAAAACAACAACAACAAAGGCAGAACTTGAGAAAGTCCCTTGCTTGAATTACAACTCCCAGTGGGCCCTCCTGGCTGCAGGAGTTTGAGAGTTAAAAATTGTTACAAATTCTGGAATGAGATTTATTAAGCGTTATTAGATTGCTAGAACCTCGCTGATCATAGGCCAAATACCCCATGAGCAATCCATTGACATTCTGTAGGGATTTGGCATTCGTAGAAGGAAGAAGAGTCCTGGAGATCTTCCACAGCATTACACATCTGCAACATGACTGTTCTCTGCTTCTTCAATACCTATCACACTCTTAGCAAAAGAACAATTCATAATAACAGAAGCAAAGCTGTCATTTCATTCTAAGCAAAAGTTTACAGTGTAGAAGTTAATTGTGTCAAGGTAGGCCTGGTTCCTGCTCAGACAAGAAGATTGCTGAGGGACCTTGAGCAAGCAAGTCACCTCATTTCTCTTTCTCAGAGTAATGAATCATACTAGGTTATTGCGAAGATGTAAAATATGGCATGTAGGCTTGTTTGGGGAGAACCTTGTAGGTCAACCTGAGCAAACTGAAGAAAGGGATTGAATAGAAATATATTAATAAATATATGTAAATATAATATGAGTGTAAGTAAATACAGGTTGAGTATCCTTTATCTGAAATGCTTGGGACCAGCACTGTTTTAGATTTTTGAATTATTTATTTATTTTGGATTTTGGAATACCTGTATTTGCATTTATGCACATAATGAGGTATCTTGGAGATGAGACTCAAGTCTAAACACACAATTCATTTATGCTTCATATGCAACTCATGCACATAGCTTGGAGGTAATTCTATACTCAATATTTTTAATAGTTTTGTGCATGGAAAAAAAGTTTACATACATTGAACCATCAGAAAGCAAAGGCATCACTATCTCAGCCATCCATCAAGAAACGGACATTTCAGTTACTGCTCAGCTGTGAAGCTTGGTGGATTACATGGGGATAGGTAACAACTCTTAGGACCTTATCACACGCGGGGCGCAAAGCGGCAAGAAGCGATATAAGAATCAATCCAGAACTATACCGTTAGAAACCGCACAATACGGAAATGGCTATCAGACGCAACTAGCATCAT